CACCCTTCCATTGAGACCATTTCTGATGAGCAGTCGATGGATCCACCGGAGAGCCAGATGCATCTCTCGGGTCAAGTCTTTGCTGGATTTCTGTGTTTTGTTTTTTTAACCTATTCCTTAAAGGCATCTTGCATTAAAACACAAGTGTAAGATCCCGGTGATGGCCCGATTAAGTGACAAATCATCTGCGCTGTCGGTACCTGTGTTTTCATACTCAAGGTGTTATAGGATGGCAGTGGTCATGTCATTGAAGATAAATGTGCAAGCTTAAATTACAGCGTGCTCCAAATCCCATTCCCCAACGTGCCTATTGATCAAAAAGCAACAGCAGTAGCCATAGGCCATCTCATACAGGGGTGTAAAGACAAGGGCTACACAGGCCATTAAAAACAAAAAATGGCATGTCATTGTATTTCCATGAAGCACACCGTTTTGATAAGATGCCTGTCACAAGCTTGAATGATTTCTGTGGTTTGGTTGGCCTGATAGAAAGTTCTGTCAATTATCTAAGAGGTATTAGATCAATACATGAGGCTCAAGTAAATGTCAAGGACAAGTTGGCAAGTAGGAAATTAGAGCAATGTGGCAACAGGCAGAGAAAGCAATTTTCTTCTGTTTCCCATTATGCTAATGGGACTAGAAACTTAGTATTTCCATGTACTATATGAATATCTAATGGCCTCGATATCCCCCAGTGCTTCCTTGTTGGAAACCAGTGAACATCCATACTGTGAAAAGATGTGCTTTTCTGCGTCTTTCTAATGAAAAAGTCATTAACAAAATATGTTTGAACTCCATTGGAAGACCCTCATCCCATCTGATTTGGTGCAGTTTTTATCTGTTATATGAAAAATAAACTGATTGTTAATAAGTAAAAAAAAATTGAACATATTTGTTCAAAGTAGTATTTTTATGTGATAATTAGTTGCTTCGTTATCTGTCCCTGAAATTAGTGGGCAGCTTTCTATATCTCCTGAGGCATGGAGGCGATATGTCGTGAGAAAAAGAGGAATCAGTGAATTTTGCAGCTGTTGGTCTCCTGCTGACCCAGCCTCCCTTCCCCCTCACCCTACCCAGTCCAGTTATGTCCTTATAGATTTGAACTCTATGTAATATATAGAGAACGACAGCTCAAGCCTCTTTTATCTTACTGGATGTGCTGATGTCCGTTATAACTACACCGCACTATAAATGCCTAGCATTTGTTATGTAGCTAATCTTTTTGCTTGACCTGCTTGACCTGCAACAGCAGCATATTCCTATAAATTATATTTGCACTTCATAAACATCTTATGGATTAAATCCAGTCCCAACATTCAAAGCTAGTGCAGCAAAGATTGTGCTTTTAATGCTGAGAGCTGAAATGTTAAGAGTGTGATTATCACAATAAGCTCTTCAAATTTAAAAAGCTTATACAATAATACAAAAGATCAGTTTCTGGTCCAAAGCCGTTAAACAAACAGCGTTGTCCTGTTGTATCTAAACACAATTAAACACTCATAAAAATTTGTTTAGCAACCACTATTGTGGAAACTAATGAGGTTCCTTATATAGAAATAAATCAATTAATATAAAATGTTTTCTTGTATAGCTTGTTTTTTTTTTTAATAAGATAATAATTTGGATTAAAATAAGTTTTCACATTTTTTCTCACCAATTTTTAATTATTAATTAGGTGGCGAGTATCATCATATTCCAAAAGCACAATATGACTGTAGCAGCCCTTGGCATCAAGAACGACAGAAGAGTCTCTAACGGGTGCAGCCATTTATTTCCTCACCACATACGGCTCATTCTCTGGACATTGAGCACCGTGAAAACTATAAAATAAGAAAAAATTGATAACCGTACAGTCCTTTTGAACTATAACAACAATGAGCTTAAGTCAATTCAGGTAAGTTCAAACAAGTAATTCTGAGATATACAGTCACAGATTAAATAAAACAAAAGGGGTTACTTCAAACAGCATCAAGGGGTTACACAGCTCGGTTAAATAAAATATAACAACAGATCACCTCTCATCACATACCTCAGTCCGCTTGCCAAGGGTGCAAACTCCGGTAAACACTTAAACACTTCGGCCCGTTTCTCATGGGGTGCTGCTAGCTTGCATGACACACATGTCTAGCTAAAAAATAGCACATGGATGTAAGTAACGTAAGTAAAGAATAAAAGGTTTTCAGATAGCTCACAATACAAACGCAGCAACATACCTTACATTAGAAACACACTTATCAAAGTATTATCGTAACTTACATGGACTTTGTACAACTTATTCCTGCCGCGACAGACCGCTCCATACATGTTACGGGGCGTGCCTCTGAGCACATCTGTCCTTAGTGCGACTGCGCATATAGTTCCGACAACCCTGCAAGGATGACTTATGGTACAGATCAACGGTTCATTACAATGACAGTGGTGAAGCTAAACCAGAGCAAGTTGTGAGGAGTTGGCGATACAGCTCCGGTAAGCCAAGAGAAGCTGCTGCCAGTTCTGCTGTAGCTTAATTAGTTTGCACTGTTCTCTGTTGGGATTTTTTTTAAATATATACTTAAAACTAGTAAATTAATCTCTATTCATACAACATTTCTCAAAATCTGTCTGTTTTGTGTGAGGAAGAACTGTAAAACAAAGCAACCCTGACTAACACTGGCCCCTGCGTTGTTATCCGTAGACTTTTGTTTGTTTGTTTGTTTTTTCCTGGACTGAGGGTCGTGTGTACACAAGATAGCAGGATAACGCTTCTGTTACATTGACCAAAATTAACGGCAACCTGAAGGTTTATTTGTTGTTTATTTATTTTTGTTGAAAGCCTGGTGGAGTGGAAAGGTAATCAAATGCTTGCTAGCTCTTCACCCCAGTCGTACTTACTTTGGGTACACATGGTTGATCTGATAAGACGCTCCTGGCAGGTTTGCCAAAACAGCTTTTTCCTCTTGCAGCTGCCCCACTGATGTGAATTTGTGAGTTCAGGAAGATGCAGAGAGGCCTTTCAAACTGAAAACTACCCTATGATAGATTCAAACAGTAAAGTCGGGGGGGGTTTATAAAAGCATTAAAGCAAATGACCACTTCAAAGACATTGAAACATTTCTTACTGGCTACACTGTTATAACAAATTTTTCCCTGCATCTAAATACGTGTGTATACAATCACCTTTTGGCTATACCTTTAGCTTTGTTTTAAAAAATCTAATAAAACGTCACTTGCTAACGAGAGTGTTACGGGCAAAACTTGCTTTATAATGGAAGGAATGACTTGTTATTCTCAACAGCAGCCTGGCACCGATCCTCAAATGAAAGGGATGCAGGGAGAGGCAAAAGGTCAGGCTAATTAAATGTCAGCAAAGAGCATCTTAATAATTGAATCATTCAAACAAAGAACCACATAATTTAGTTTTTAAGGGTTCTGATGAGCCACTTGCTGCCTCTCTTGTAGTTTTATGGTCAATAGATTATTACATTGTTCCATCTTAACAGTGACTCCTGTACACTACATAAACCTCGATAGACTTCACATCCAAAAGCGATTGACTAAGACATAGTTTCCTGATAAAGATGTCAATTTTTGGAAGTAGTTCAGTCTTTCCAAAAACCTCCAGCACTACATCTTAAACATCTGTCAGGACTCATTAGTCGGAATGCAAGTGAGCACATTTTCAAACAGTTGTATTTGTGCCAGAAACCTAAAGATAAAATTGTTTTGACACGCTTGTAAATGGCTTAGGCTGTTTCTTCTTTCACCCTCTCAGTTATATAAGATCCTATTGTGACACCATAAACAATAGCAAGAAATCCAGTTGGATATGCGTGAGGGTTGATAGAGAGGTGATGTTGGTCCCTGAGGGAAAACAAACCCACACATCCTCCTATAGCAGCGGGTAAGAAGTTCATCCACTGACCTCAAGAGTTTATTTATCCTGTTACTCATTAAATATTCTTTACTTTTGTGCTTTAAATGCACTTAAACTTTGTATTTTCTGCATACTATATTTTCATTATTGATCACCATCAGGAAACATCTTAAAACTACCAGCACCTTATTAACTGAGAAACCTCATGCTGCCATTTCCTGAGTGTATTTCCCCGAGCATAAGCAGAAATTACTCTCAGTCAGCTCTATAACGTGGGGCTGTGTTTCACTAGAAGTTTCTGTCTTAATCGTTGGCTCGGAGCACTGACGCATGCATAGTACAGTATAAAAATGGTGAACCTTGTCCTGTGAGCTATGCTTACAGCGTTGTGGGGCAGACTGAGTGCCTTGACTGCAGTTAACCTCTTCACGATCTTTTATTTCCCAAAATGTCATGTAACAGCATCTTTTCTTTGATCATGAGCCATCCACATCAAAAGCATTTACAGGGCACTGCCAACACATGCTTGTTGTGGGGTCTTATTCTTTGTCTGTCAATATTTCTTCAAGATTAAAGAGTTTACTGTCACAGTCATTTGTCTTTGAATTCTTGTGACCACCTGTGAGAGAAAAATCACACTTTAGGCCAAACAGGATGCTTTATTGTTCTGTGTTGGTTTGTGAAAGGGACGCAACCCAAGACAGATTGTTTGTTGTTATCAGCGGCTTACTGCAAGTAAGAGGCTGACCATCAATCCATCCCCTTGTGCACCTGTTTGTGTTTGTAGCCAAGTGCTTATGAGAGGGGGAAAAAGATAAGAGAGGTGCGCGTATTACATCAGTGTTACTAGAGCGGGAGAAGTGCGTGGAGTGAGGGGAGTTATGGGACCAGTGAGAGTCGAGCTTTCACAAAAGACTGATGTGTGCACATCTGTATGATGAAAGCAAAAGAAGGGCTGCAGTGATAAGGCTTGTATGTTCATGGGCATGTTGTTTTGGTTGTCAGTGAATCCATCTAACCTCACTATGTATGCGAGGCAACAAGCTCGCTTTACTTGTGGTACAGACGCTGGTAAAATCAATGAGCACAGTAACAGTAAAACTAGAGTTGCAGAGGTATAGATGAGCTGTCTGTACCAGAAGTACTGTGGGTACAACACAATATTCAGTCTAAAAATAAAAGTTTAAAAAATATATACAAAGCTTCTCCAAAAGTTGATTCTGTTCATCTGGACGTAGCGTTTTCTGGGAGAAAC